CGGGCTCTAGGCGGGCGCGTCCCCACCTCCAGGCCGCTTCCGTGCCGGGGGCGCGGGGCATCCCGGCGGAGCGAGGCGCTCAGCAAACTTTATCTCGAAAGCTCTGCTCCCTTGGGCAGGGCCCCGCGGTCCCCGGTGAGGGGGTGTGGGGCGATGGTGGTGAAACTCAAGCTAAAGCTGGGAGTGCAGAGGGCAACTTTCTCAGAAATCCCACCGCGATCACCCCTTTAATTCGTCGCCTAAGGCCCCCTTAGCACTTAGTCTGGCCCTAGGCCGCCTCCCTGTGCGTCCTGCCTGAGGTGCTGGGGAGGACTTGGTTTGTGCTTGCCCCTCTTTTCCCTCATTTTCTCCCCCCCCCTCCACCCCCGAAGCAGGAAGAGGTAACACGTGAAAGTTGCCCCTGAGCCCCGAGTGATACGCTTCCCCTTTCTGTCTCTTTCAGGCAGTGCTGCTGCCTTCATCATCCTTATCCCGGAGGAGCAATACCGGGAAGAGCACTCCTCGCCCTGCTCTGCCCCACCACACACCCACCTTTGTCACCTCATGCCCGGGTCCCGGGTGGGTGAGGGTGAAGAACCCACCCAGCCAAGATGATCTCTTCCCTGGGGGCTGCTGCTGCTGCTCTCCTCCCCCAGATCCTGGGCCCCAGCAGGTGGGAGGGTGGCCCTGGAAGGAGCCCTGTCAGACTGCTGCAGAGGAGGTGAAGAGGGCTTAAGAGGCGCCACCCATCCCAGACACGGAAGCTCCTTGCCTTTTGCCCTTTAGATCTTGACTGTTTTATGAAAGAAGAATCCGTTGGTGGACCTTACAGGCAGCAAAAAACTGGACTGTGGTTCTGCCTGGCACCTATGCCCCCGCCTCTGGTAGCATCAGCATCATGAGCCAGTTTCAGATGCCCCTGGCGGTCCAGCCAGACCTGCCAGGTCTTTATGACTTCCCTCAGGGCCAAGTGATGGTAGGGGGCTTCCAGGGTCCTGGGGTTTCCATGGCTGGGAGTGAAGCCCAACTGAGAGGGGGTGGAGATGGGCGAAAGAAACGGAAACGGTGTGGGACTTGTGAGCCCTGCCGGCGGCTGGAAAACTGCGGGGCTTGCACTAGCTGTACCAACCGCCGCACACACCAGATCTGTAAGCTGCGCAAGTGTGAGATGCTGAAGAAAAAAGTGGGGCTTCTCAAGGAGGTAAGCTGGCCGTTGTTAGGCTCCCACCCTTTCCTCCAGAGTGCTGTGATCATGGAAGTCTGATAAGAGTCGCATCTCGTTCAGCCCATTCTCCCATTTCTGATCTCCTTGGTTGGCCTTTGAGTGGGTCCATAAGTAGAATCATAGCTGACATTGCAAGCCCAGGAGGCTTCTTGGCAGGACTGACAATTATATGGGAGTGACCAAGTGGCAGTGCTATTCGCATGTCTGAAGTTTGCACTTGATATAGGACAGTGATGTCTAGCTTGATCGGCTTGAAGCCCCAAAGGTTACATTTCTAGTAAACACAAATGTCTAGGTGATGTGGTCAATGATGACGCCAGACAAGGTATTTTGGAGAGTAAGCTTTGGAGTGTAGGGCGATTTCATGCTACCTTATGGAATGGGATGTTCTTTCCTTAATCCTTAATGCCATAGTTTTTCTCAGATAGCAGGATGGTTGAAACAGTTTGGGAATTTCCTAGATTCGGTAGTGGGCACCAGATACTAATGGTCATTAATGGTGCTTTTGAGATACTGTCTTCTCAAAGAGGAGAACTCCCTGTATTTGGGGTGGAGGTGAGAAGGATTTGGGATGAGCAAGGGGTGGGTGGTGGGAGTGAGCCTGCATTGGCCATCTTTCCCTCATTTTCTGGTGGTGGATTGCTGGCACGAGATTGGTGGCAGCTGAGACAGTGGAGTGTTGGCAGAAGTACAGACGAGCAAAGTTGAGCAGATTAGGCAGAGCGGTATAGCAGCTGAGGTCGCTTCAGGCAGCGGAACTGGCGCTGGACAGAGACAGAGTCCTGAGCGGTCTACAAGGCTCCCCTGGCTCTGTCACTGATTTATCTGAGAGCCCAGACAACTCAGGACGGTCTTCTCCTTGGGGAAATGGAAGAGTTGTACTTGGCCTTTGAAGCCTCCTCAGCTGGCCTGCGAGCTTCACGCTCTGAGGGCTAGGGCACCTGTGGCTATCATGGACTGGCGGCATGCACTTGGGATTTCCCTGACCGCTGAGTGCAGAGCCCTGCCTCCAGCTTGTGGGGCTGTGGTTCTGTGGCTAGGAAAAAGGATCCAAATGTTGGAGGTTAGGGAAATGGTGGTGCTGGAAATTTCCCTCCCTTTTTACTTTCCTGTGTCTATTTGCTGTGGATGCTATGTTTTGTGATTCAGACCACAGTCTGCCCTTTTTCTGTACTTACCAAAGCAGACATCTGGATCATATCTACAGCTTGTGACCCCAGCCTGGGAGATAGTGTTCTACTCCCTTTAAGTTGCTGGTCTTGGGGGCAGTTAGCGCCGCTGGCCCAGTGCCTCGCAGGTCATTTTGGAAGGGCTGGGATCTGGTACAAGTCTCACTTGTGGGCATGAAATCTGGTGTTCTGGTGAAAGGAGGACCTTCTCCACGTACATTGTAAAACTTAGTGCCTTCTTTCTAGTATTTATTTCCTTCTCCACTCCCTCATTCCATTCCTCCCATAATCAAACCAGAGGGGTCAGGAGGCTGAGTTTTATAGGCTGATGCTCTTGAATCAGTGACCCTTGTGGATGGTGTTAAGTGCTACTTTTGGCAACAACAGGGCATACCTGAGTGAAAGGGGCTGGGAGTGAGGCCAGGACCTGTCATCTCTGTGTATAAGCTGCCAGTACAGGCTGTGTGGTGGTCATGGTAAAGATAACTTAGATCTGGGTTGGCTGAGGCTTCCAGACAACCTAGCTAAGTGAGAGAGATCTGCACTCTGTGGACCTTGCCATGACTGGCAGTCCCCCTTGTTTCCCAAATTGAGGTAAAATGGCCTGTAGTGTCCTAGGACAGAGGGTCTACATGCAGGTCTGTGAATCTGGGCTGGCACCTGGTTTCTATAAAGATAGTGCCATGGGAGAGTGGAGAGAAATTCTCTCCCTAAAGCTTATTTTCCTTGATTTAAAGAGTTTTCTGTCCTAAGGCTAGGTCCTTTTTGGATATTTGAAATGTACTTTCTTTTACAAAGTGTAGGTGTGTACAGAAAGATCTGTTTTATTTTTATTTGTTTAATCTTTGCTTAGTAAAATGTAAAATGGAAACGTGGTTCTCTCCACATTTTTTTTTAACTGAAGGCTTAAGGCTTGAGAACCACTATCCAAGAGCCACCTCTTTCAACTGTCTCTGGCATAGTTGCAGAACGGAGACATATCTGACTATCTGAGCAAAGTATTTAACAGCCCTGGGAGATTGCAGAAAGACCATATGCCAGGGCTGAAGAAGTCATTTTGGCCCTGACTCTTCTGGTGGGCTAGGTAGGACACATCATCCAAGGAACCTCCGAAATTAGACTGCTTACACATATCTCTCCTTGGAATTTCCTCCTCATTTAGAGTGGTGTGCCCTTTCCTTTGCCGTAGCTCCATTTCTTCTAGCTGCCTTTGGGGCTTCCTTTGAGCTTTCCATTGACAGCTGCCTTGTATCATCCTTGTATCATTATCTTTTTTTTGTCTTCCATTCGTATTCTTTATCCCTCTCCCACCTGCCAGTGAGCTTTGGGGAGGGGACTGGGGGAATCCTTCTACTTGAAAAAGTAGTTCAGCATTTTGAGACTAGAGACAACTTCCCAGGGATAGGTGACCTATTCTTCAGGTCCTAATGTGATTTTGGGGAAAAGTTGGTGGTAGCTGTAGGTAACATACCAGAAGGAGTTCAGTCACGTGCCATGGTCTACAAGCCTAATTCCAGGAAGGATTTAGATACTAGGCTGTTTGACTTGCGATCTATTTATCTGAACAGTGGCTCATAGCAGAATGAAGACAGCTGATTAGAATAGTAGGACTTGATATGGCGGCAGAGTAGGACTCAAAGTAGACCAGGATAAGTTAATCTTTGAGCATTGTTTTTCTCAAATGTAAAATAGGGGTAATCCTAGTGGGTGCACAGAACAGTGAAAGAGAAACTGTTTAAACAACTGTGCATTAATCTGAGTTGTAAACTTGCAATACAAATTACATGTTTCAAGACATTCCTGGCTTGCTGAAAGAACTGTGGGACAGAACATAGGGGAAGAGGCTGAATGCCATGCACAAAGAGTCATCATGGTCCTGGGCCTGTCTGATTAATTGCCCATTGGTGAAGAAATAAAGATCCAATTGAATAGAATGTTATGGGGGGGGGGAACAACAAAAAACAACCCTTTACATAGAAAAATATGTACATCAAGCTGGAAACAAGACTAAGAAAACATCAGTGAAAATGAAAAGATACATGGGTTGAGAATATTTTCTAACCCTCCACCAGGAGGATTTAATGGCTGAAACACAGCTTTCTGCCAGATACAGACAAGCTACCTTGGAACTAGGGGTTTGTGTCTGTGTGTGTATGTGTGTGTGTGTGTGTGTGTTTAAAAAAAATCATAAAACATTAATTCTTGCCCAGTCTGCTGGTAGCTCTCTTTCTAAGCACAGAAGCTGTAAGGAAGAATGATGCTGTTAGTAACAAAGGGAGAATTGATTGGTGGAGAAAGGGATGAGATCTTTGGAGAAAGAGGCGCCATCTTGGCATTTGTGAAGCCTGAAACACTGGGCAAGGGGAAGTGTTTACCAGAGACTTTAGAACCTTGTCTTTGAAAGGCAAGTAGTTTTTAACCCCAAAGCCACAGACTCTAAAAGGGAGGCCAGCTGGAGGGATAGGATTGGTTTTTAAAAAGGAAATGCTGATAGAACAGTCAGGAATGGTAGCCTATGGAGGAAGGTGGTGGCAGTGGGGAAAGATGAACCATCTGTGTGGCAGCAGGGTTACTTTCTACTGAGCACAGATGGTAAAGGTCGTGAATGCTGGGGTTCAAGGCACTGAAGACAGGTGCAGGAGTGGGCTGAGCCTTCACAGGCACATCGGAAAGTTCATTGGTCAGAATATGCTGAAGCTGGTGGAAAATACACCTGGTAACAAGTCTTCTGTACATTCCCCACAAGAATGAAAGAGAAGGGTAGGATGACAAGTTTGGGACTATAACTAGCAACAAAGAGAACAACCACTGGGTTCTGGTGTACTAGAAGGGATAAACTAGGGAAAGGAGAGCCAGTCAGCTGCCCTACCTGACCCTGGGCCCTCTGCACCACTGACCACCTTCTTGTGTGCCCAGTCAGTCTTTAGAGAATGTTATGTTGAGTAAGGCAGCCAGGAGACAAAAGACTGCCAAGAAATAGTTTTTTTTTCAGAGATTTTAGGCATTATGAACACATAATCTTCATGCTAATTCATTCTTCTCTAAAAAAATTATTTGCAGTAGTAGGGTTTGAACTGTGCCTTGTGTTTGCTAGGCAGATGCACTAGCACTTGTGCCATATATCTTAGCCCTTAATGTTATTTCCTGCCCACCCCACCCCCACCCCACCCCCATCCTGGTGCTTGAACTCCTGGCCTGGGCTCTGTTCCTGAGCCACTCTGTACTCAAGGCTAGCACTCTACCACTCGAGCCACAGCGCCACGTCCTGCTTTTTCTGTTTATGTGGTACTAAGGAATCGAACCCAGGGCTTCATGCATGCTAGGCAAGCACTCTAGGCAAGCACTCTACCACTAAGCCACATTCCCAGTCCTAATGTTAATTTTTGATGGCTCTAGAATAGATTATTTTGAAAGATGGCTTGTAAGATTTTAGAAAGGTGGACACAAGAATAGCCCAGACAAGTTAGGATCTCAAAAGGTGTTTGCTGATCAGAAGGGCTTCAGGAATAAGGCCTCTGAAAGTAGTAGATAATGGTTGTGTAGAGGAGGGGGATGTCCATGGGATCTTGGAAGGATCTGGATCACGCTTATAGAATATAAGGATATGTTCCATTTTCACAAGAAGCAGGAAATCGATTCTTGGGTGGGTACTGGTAGTTAGCATTAATTTGAGGGATGGTATAAGGGGCAGTAGCCCCAGCTAACTCATGAAAAATTCACAAGTAAGGAATGTTGGTTTCCTATCAGGTAGGAACAGATTAAAGTTTTTAGGAATATTGATAACCCATCTTGAGAACTGTCAGAGTA